GACTACCTGGCAGATATCTAAGATTTGGTAAGATTAATGATAAGCAATACCAAAAGAAGCCATTATAGCAATATAAAGCTTAGCACATTTTTTCATAGGCCTTTTCCAGTCTCTTGTAGTTTCAAAACAAAAACAAAAGCAAAAACAAAAACAAAAAAACCCAGTTTCTTCTTACAGTGAAACCAGAACTGCAAGCAATTCATCTAATGTTTAAATTTCAAATAAATATTATCTGGATACCAGTTACTGCTTTTTTGAAAATGGAGACCTAATAGAATAGTTGTGTTACTGCAACCTCACATTATGGCCTATGGAAGCAATACTATTCAGAAACTCTTCAAAACTGCAATATAACTGCAAGATGTCAACATACAATATCAAGATACATCAAATGGGAACATTAAAAGATAAACATCTGACTAAAAGGAATTAATTTAATCTTTTTTTCTAATTCCTCAACGCTTCCCATGAATTCACAGGTGCACCCTTACTCACAGCTATCTTAAGGATGGTGAAAGGTCTGGGTATGAGTGGATGAATGTGCAGAGTAATTATCTACCAGCAACCAGAAAGATCTTACTGAGCACATGTGGTAAAATAGTATGACCATGTGTACTGATCTGGGTTACTCACATTTGTTGCTCATGCACAAAGCAAGTGATCAGGATCTACTAAGTGGTTCATCATACTCGTATTCCTACCTATTGGTAACTGGCTGTGGAAGGCTGAGAGCTCCATGGCTCAAGCACTGATCCTATTAATTTCTTGTAAAGATATTCAAAGATGCAATGATTCCCTATACATGAAATTAGTTTTAAAAGGGTGTCATAAAGAAAGGAGTAAGAATATAAGTAAAAAATTAAGTAAAATAAAAAAGTATCTCTTTAACTTGGAAGGAGAATAAGCAAAAAAATAGAGAGAACAGTGAACTTTTATATACTGTTTGTGATTCAAGTCTCAGAATAAAGTAATAAAATTTATGCATTCATTATAAGAATACATTCTAAAGATAGGCTTTTTAATTTCTGCATAATCAATGCCCATAAAATCTGTCATAAATAGACCTATACTTTAGAATAACAGTTAGAATCCATTAAAGTTATTTTGATTGTTCTTTATCATATATTTTTTTCATCCTAATTAATGTAACACAAAATGAGATTTTAAGCATTAGCTAATTTGTTTTGCTCAAGCCGGAGTACTTGCACATGTTCTTTATTGCATAAAAAATTGAGGAGGATGTGATTTGAGGAAGCATTAACTAAATATTAATATCCCTTTGGATAGTCTCTTAAATATTTTTGATTAGATGCTTGGATCGTCTAATTTTCAGTGAAAGAGTTCACATATATACTGAGCATTTTAACAGTTTTTTTCCTGACTCGGACTGTGCTAAACCACTTTATGGCCTCGAGACCTAGAGAGATAATAATATCAACAGCACCATTCTATAAAAGTGAATACAGTAATTGTGACCAAACTTATGCAAATGTGTTGATGTTTAAAAATGAAGATAAGTAGGACTTAAAAAACATTTAAATGGATTAGGTACTTACTTGCCATTGAAGTTAATGCTTTGTAAAACTGGGATCCTGGAGAGCTCTGTGTCTATGTTTGTGAGGGGACAGGGAAGGCAGGATAAAACAGGACTTAAAGAAAGAAGAAGAGCTATAAACTTGTCTTTAGCTCTAGGTGAATGTGATTTTCTGACTCTTATCTTACATATATTAAGCAGTAAGTTGGTATTCATGAATTCAGAATTCAGTTAAAAATAAGTCAAGCTACAATGTATTCATATCCCCAGGTATCCCAAAAGCCATTGTATGTTTCTTTCATTGTTTAATCTGTAAGGCAGGAACTTTTTCATACATTTCTATAAAAATCCAAAGGACCTCCTTCAGAATGGTCATGTTGGTTGTATAAGGGAATACATAATTATAAGATAGATAATCATTTTAATTGTCTTATAGTAATTTAAATCCTAGTAATACCCAAGCTTTCCCTGTAGCTAACAGAAAATATCTTCAGTTTTAATGTAAATAGATTGAAGAAGCTTCAACTGTTGCCTTTAGGTTCTTCTCCTAAGGCTACATTTAGTGATTAAAAGCTGAGCTGGGATACTATTACCTTTCTTCGTAAAGGGCAAGGATTCTTGCAACCCTTCTATCACTTTCAGAAGATTGTTGTCTTGACCAGCTTTGAAGGCCAGAGGCTTCTTTGACCTCTTTATTGATAGATAAATAGTTTATGAGAAAAGAAGACTTGAAACACTGGTTTTCTAATTTTGTTTCCATCAGTACATTTCTCAGTCAATCTACTTTTCAGAGCTGTTTTGCACATTTTTTTTTCTTCCTTTCAGTGTGAGGAGGATAGGTTTTAACCTGAAAACAACTATGTTTTGATAGCTTTCACACAACACAGTGGACATATATTCTATTAAATGAGTAGTGTATTGGGCCAGTGATTACTTGAAATCTTGCTGCAAATCTGGAAGTGTCATTGTAAAATATATGATTCAGCTGACAAGCAACTGCTGACTGTGCATTCTGACCATAATGCATAAATGTGTCATGGACAGAAATGCTAAGCAAATCTCAGAGTGACATAAAGGAAGCGAATGTGACATTAATAGATACATAAAAATGCACAGAGAATAAGCAGTCAAATTATTCTGTATCTTGATCTGATCCTCTAACCTTTGCAAAATATGTTGTCTGCAAAAACTCATCTGTGCAAAATGCTGTTCTCAGAAATTCTTGCATTAAAGTACTACAGATACTGGCATATACAGATACGCTTGCACGAGAATTCTGATTTCATGTTGTAAGTGGGTTCAAAGGTAGTTCTTTTGTGCTGAAGCCACTTAGTCAATGAATACAAATAGTGCTGTACTCCTTGACAATTTACAAAGTATTGGTGTGAACTATGTAGAGCTGTTGTTCTGATAGATACTATCAGAAGAGATAATAACAATGCCTAGTTTTCTTTACAAATATTGAATATAATATGCAAACAGAAACAATATTAATGTTCTAGTATAAATCTTTGCCTATACTGACTATATTAAATATGTGTGTGTGACAGGATCTTTAAACATGATGATTGTAATCAAAGACCTTGTCTGCAAAACTGTTCCATTTCATAAGTTTTGGTAATTTACTTCACATTGAAGTAAAAAATAGGCCTTTTCTCTTTTTTCCATGGAAGAAACATTTCCAGTATTATAGATTGTAATATATCCTTTGGATTATGAAACACATCAATTCTAAATTCCTTTTCTGTCTAAAAAATAAAAAAAAATCCTTTCTGTAGTTTGATGGGTATAATGTAAGCAAATGTTTCAACTTCAGGGAATTGGCATTTTGTTAAGAAAATTTTGTGAACAGTTGGGAAAGGTGCCAAATGCTTCCTTAATGCCTCCTATGAGATGTCCTTTGCCCTAGAATGATCTTCCAACAAAAATGAATTTAATTTAAAGTCATATTTATAAGATTATCTGTTTTCCTTTGTAGGAAGCAGCTATTTGTGTCTGGAATGATACTTTAAAAGTTTTAATTTTGTGTTCTTAATCCAACATTGTCTTTCCTATTTCATATTTTTTCATACACTTATCAGTCAGTGGGTGCAGTTTAACTAAATCTGCTAAAGTTTAACTAACTTCTTAATTTCCACTTTATACTAAAGATAAAATAAAAGGAAAGAAGGGGAAAAGGTCATATATTGCTTTCAGTGTTATGGTTATTATATTTTGGTTTTGGTATTGCAATATAAAGCAGCTTTTCTTTTCGATGTCATTCTGTTGTGAAGTAGAGGATTTTAGAACTCCTCAGTGCCATGTGATAGAACTATTAAGATGTATAGATTTCTCTTTATATGACAGCAAACACAACATTTGTGTGGAGAAAAGTATGAGTTTTATCTAACAGTGGAACTATATGACTTTGGACACAAAGATCTATATACACTTAATCCTCTTATATTTTGGAATGATTTTTCCAAGCACAGAAAAAACCACAAAGTATTAGTTTCTTACAATGTATATTATACTTGCACATTTTCATTTCCTGTTCCTTTCTCCTTTTCCCCTACCATCCTTGTGATCTTTAATTTATAGTCTCCTTAAGTTATGGATGTAAGAGATCATGAAAAAGAATGATTCAAAAATGGCTAGGGCCTTTTTGAGAGGCGGGGGCATGAATGATAACAAGGAAGACAGTTACGCATCACTAAAAGGTGTGAATTTTTTTATTTGATTTGATCTAATTTTATCTTTTATTTATTAAAAAGTGTATAGGTCTCCAAGGTAAGGATAATGACCTGTTAAATTGCAAAATTAAGTTTAATGTAAACATTAATTAATGGAAGATAAATATTATAGTTCCATATATGCTTTTTGAGTCATTATAAAGTCTTTTGGAAGAATTATATATTACGAGAGGTTTATCATGTATTATTTAAGTGAAATTCATCACCAAGTCACGTTATGCATAAACTTCATGAAGTTTGATGGTTTTAAACTCCATTTGGAAGATAGTTATATATTTTTAGTGATACTATGTTAGCTAGTGTTTTGGGGCTTTTCAACAGGTAAATATCTGTGATTTTTGCTCTGTGCCACTGAAGATAATGGTTTTCCTCACACAATTTCAGCGTGAAGGAAACCATGAACTAGTTGATATCCAGATACTTAATCAGTTCTTAATCTCATTATAAAAACAAAACTGATATCCCCAAGTCTTCTCTTTCTTTCAGCACATTTCAGTGTCTCTCATCTCTCTCTTATGTATCTGAACTCATAGTACTTTCAAAATGAATGTTACTGGTACTTTGACATTCATGCCATTGAGGTGTCCACTCAGAGAGACTAATCACCTTTCTCTTTGTTTTATCCATAGAATTATTTATATAGAGCTATCATTATTTATAAAAGTTCTTTTGATATCATATGCTTTGTAAATGCCAAGTAAACACCTTTGTGTGTGTATCGATCTGTTTTTTAGGCTGCCTAGAATTGAAAGAAGACACCATTGAAAATCTTCTGGCAGCTGCCTGCCTCCTCCAGCTCCCACAAGTAGTAGAAGTTTGTTGCCATTTTCTAATGAAGCTTTTGCACCCATCCAACTGTTTGGGAATACGAGCATTTGCTGATGCACAAGGATGCACAGAGCTGATGAAAGTGGCTCACAACTACACCATGGTAAGGCTATTTTAGAATACTGAAATTATGACTTGTTGATCTTCTATTTCTTCTCTAAGTTACAGATATCTTGATACTTTTCAGCTGAAAATCCTTCTGCCATTACTCTAGTACTTCCTTTTACAAGTGGCCATTTTGAAGCCATTAGGGTGATAACACCTCTGAACTTCAGTGAGGTTAGAATTCGCCTAGTGTGATGAATGCATCTGTTGCGTTAGAACAGTGTATGACTTAATTAGTCGTCCTGTCATATACATTATGTTCACATACAGGTGACAATAGTAAAATGTATTTGTAAATCCTTAGTATGCTTCATTTTAATCACTGCTTCTTTTTGTTTGGCTTTAGGGAAGCTTTGTAATTGTCATTTTTCTGCAAGATGATATCAAAGGAAGTTATTTTTTTTCCCAGCCATTATATTTCCTTCAATTCATCTGTGAAGTAAATTAAGACAGAAAGTTGAAGACATGAGGAATTTTATCTGACAATATTTTAAATTTCTCCAATTACACCTGGCAGAGCTAGTCTGACATTAATATTAAAAGCTAATCAGAATCAATGAAGCAAAAAGATGTTACTTATTCAGAAACTAAATCATATCTGTAGCAATTTAATTCTGAATAGTTTGACAAAATTAAAAACATCTGAGTCATGAAATTTGGCTTACATAAAAGGTAGATCACCTATCATTTTAGAAAAATTATAGTCCCTTATGGTCTAGACTGAAATAATTAGTGAAGTAATACAGTATGTTTCTAATAATCTGCTTGGCTTGTCTAGCAATTACAGCCTTATTTTATTTTTAAAGTACACAGTTACTCTTTTGCATAGCTAATATCATATTGTCATTCACAGGTTTAACTGTGTTTTACTTACCATTGCAGCTGAATTATTTGTATCCATTTTATAATCATGGAGCTAGTTCTTTGGCTGGTTTTAATTTTCCCTAATTTTAGACAACTAAAATCTAGTCTTCTGAGACCAAAATAGTCAGTTTAACATTCTTCTGTTATCAGGGGAGAGAAATAAGCTGTCAGAGCAGGATTCATCTGGTCTATCTTAGAATGAGATTAATTGCTTATTTTTCTCTACTAATCATACAAGAGTTGCTAACTCAAACTCAGACCAGTAACTGAAGTGGAGCCACAAGCAAACCTTGGTCTCCGAACCTTAAAATATTGCATTAATGCATCAGTACTGCATTAAGTAGTGAACAGGATATGATATCTGTAAGAATAAAATCAACCTGTTTATCCAATTTTTTTTTCTTCATTAGATTGGTATATTACTTTGATTTTTTTGAGGGGAAGACAATACAATGAGCAACGAAAAGGAACAAAAAAGTATTAAGGAAAACCTTACTTTTAAGAAGTTCTCATTGTTCTTTGAAATCCTTTCTTGAAAGATTCTTAGGGTTCATGAAACTGTTTATCATAGTACATTCAAATATTTGTGGCTGAAACTATATAGTCCATCACAAAGTTAACTCTATGCCCATTTCTAAGGTATTAGGTTTATTATAGATTGTATGAAGGGATTTAATGCTCAGGTCTGAAATCTGAATTATGCATCATGAGAAAATTGCCAACAAAAATGGTAGATCAAAAGGAAGTCAACTGTAATTAATAAGCTGAGTTTTTTAATGGTAGACTGTAGAATAAATCCAAATTATGATGGAACTACAATTACATTTGCAAGTAAGCATGATAGTCATGCTTATCTTCTCAAGAAGGACAAACAACCATATCTACTTCATTACTCAGTTATAATATTTTTTCTGGACTTGCTTAAAATTCCAGACCACTGAAAATATAATCCTAAAATCTAGCTTCATAATTCATGATATTTTCATAGGCTTCATTTTCCTGCACTGAGGTGGATCTGTGGGGTAGTTTCATTGTCCTAGTTCATCTAGGACGAGGTGGTGATGGGGAGACAGAAGCTGAGATATTGTGACATGAAGAAGGTAAGAGATTGCTGAAGCAATCTACTGACCAAGATGCAGATGCAGTCGCCAAGATAATAAAAGAAAAAAGCAGTATTTTTTTTCCCACAGACTCCAGAGGAGCTGTATGGATTGTGATGAGAGCAAAGCTAAAGTACAGGCAAAGAGGGGATTTGTTTACAAATTATTTTTTTCCTTTTATCTTACTCGGAGGATTTGAGAGGAAGTCTTTGTTAAAAAAAAAAGGGATGGGGAAATCCTTGTTTTAAAGAGTTCTCATGCTTTTTCAATACCTTTTTTTTTTTTTTAAGCTATTCAAGGTGCTTTCTTTAAGAGTTGGAAGTGATGCAACTTAAGTTTTGGCCCTGTGATTCCTCTTCCAAGGTATCATTGCAAAATGACTTTGTTGTGAATGGGAAATAATGGTACTCCCTTAACTCTGGTATTTTGTATGATAATTTGCTTATAGATGTTTAAGATTCTTTGAAAGCTATATAAAATAGCTACTGGTTTTAAAAGTTTCTGATATAAAGGCAGAATAATAAATTAACCTATGCATTTTTAAACTGTGATTGTGTCTGCTTTTTAAGAAAAAGATCAGTTTTCTTCATGAAAAGTTCGACCATGTGAAACGTTAATTTTTCTTAGCCATTTTTCTTAAATACTCGCTTACATCATTTCTCATGTGAACTGCAGAATTGTCATAAAATCAAATAATCTCTCTGATATATGACAAGCACCTGTAGGGTAGAAAATTTGAAAAGACACTTTTGATAGAGTTTGAGAGAACTCTAAAAGCTTTTGAAAAGTTAAATAATATTATGATTTATTTCTACATGTTTTTCAATCTCTGGAAAAACTGAGTTTCTTTCTAGACTTTTAACACTAATGCATGGGAATATTTTAATAGTATGTTAGTTCAGTGAATAGGGAATTATAGCTATCTGAACAGCCAGTTCTATAATTTTAATTGTCAAAATAAATAGTGATGGTATTGCAATGTTAGTATACATGTCCCCAAAGTAAAGTAAAAATGATGATAATGACTGAAATTATATACCATCTCTCTTGTTCTTTGCATCTACAAAACATCTCCTTGGTACCAAGCAAAAGAAATTCCTGTTGACCTCATCTTAAGTATCTGAAATATTACATCCAAGAGTTGTGAAAATCCAACTGATCATTTTTATTCTACTGACTATATTGCCATAGAGAATTACAATTAGAGCTGACCAGAAAGAATAGTGCTGAACCATGAAGATTTTTTTTAAGATAAAAACCCCAAAGCAACAATAAATTCTGCATTGGCTAGGGAACTGGAAAACAAGACAAAACTTTCCGAATAATTTTGCCAAAACAGATTTATAGACAAGCAATATGCTATAAAATATGTAGTAATTTTGAGATATGAGTCAAATTATATTTCTTTTTGGAATAATTTTACTTCCTAATTAATTACATAGGTGAAATTAAATATTAATTGATACCTCAAAAAACAACAATAAAAAATAAATCTCCATGGTCCTTGGTTAGGGTAGTCATTTAAGGAGCCTACAATAACCCTCTGTGACTGCATCATACCTGGCAAATGTCATACAGCTTTCTGCCGCCAATTAGTTTTGATTATAAATTCAATCTTTATCCTAGTTGTCTTACCAATAGCATTTTAATGAAAATCAATATATTTTTATGAAAACACTCTGCTTCACTGAGTCTCCACGATTACTTTAATTCCATTTTTCGAAAGCAGCCAACTTACCTAGGAGTTTCTAATAAGTGACAGACTTGATATTTTATAAGTTAAAAAATGTGAGTTATACTGTGTTGTTCATAAAAGAAAAATATCAGCATGAGTTATGCTTTCACATAATATGTCAGGAGGGCAAGAAAAGTAATTTATTCTAGTTTGAAAATTTCTTTATACTGAAGAAGAAAGAGCTGCTAATGAGCACACCACTAGGTGTGCAGAACTGAGGAGGTATGCCATTTCCAACCTATTTTTCATTACAAAAGGCTGGAGCTCAATTCCTCTCAATCATGAAAAAAACCCCATGAAAACAAATATTTATTTTCATAGTTGGCATAAGTACTTCCGGACTTCAATTCAAATGTGACCAGATTTTTCAAAATGTAAAAAGTCATTGCTGAGCATGAGGAAAGCTTCATTGCTTCTAAGGGAAGTGAAACTTATTAAATGTGTAGATATATATTCCTTTCCATAAGTAAAGGCATAATATCCCTTGTATTTAGTGAATCTTCAATGTCAAATTTCAAATTATTATTTTGAAATATGAAACTTAAGTGAAGAAAAGAAACTGTATGTATGGAGCAGGGAGAGAGTATGGGAATTATGGAAGGTCTGAAAAGCAATGAAGGAAAATGAGAGAACATTTGAAAAACCTTCATAAAATAGAATTACCAAATTGTAAGCCACAAGGATAGTTGGAGAGGAGAGGAAGGTAGAACTCATGAAAAGTTAGTGAACAATGAAAGCTGGAGACTGCATTCTCTACATTTTAATAAATGAATGTTGGATCTCAACATTTTAAAATAAACTATTGAAGAAAGAAAAAAGAGCAAAAATGCAAAGTCTCATTGGTTTCTTGGTTTAGGCTTATGAGCTTTATAGTGGGGTATTTTGTTTCTACTGTATGGAACTGCATTGCCTTTTTTTTTTTTAATGAATCTGCTAATTTAAATGGTAACTCAAATATCCATGTCTCTTTCGGTTTAAGACTTCTCTACTTCTTAAAGATAGTCTTGATTTTTGACTAGCTTGTCACTTTCTTCACACTTTCAATATGCCAAGCCATATGTCTGAGAAGTTCATTTTCCTAACTTATTGTTAGATTAATACCATACTAAAGCGAAAAGTATGATGTCTTTCTAAATAAATAAAAGCAGCAAAATGGAAAATATGAATGAACTAAAGCTAATACATTCTTCTAACAAACATTTTGAGTGACTATTCTTTATTCTTTTAGTTTTCAAGGCTTTCATAAATAGGGAAGGTAACTAACAAAAGTTAGCAATTTATTCACTTGCTATACTTGTT